CCCCCTTTCTCAAAGCAAAAATGCTATTTCAGATAAAAACAGATCAACTTGAGAGCTGACACAAAGAAAGCACTTATTGTGAGACCCCAATGTCCAGGGAACAGGTAAGGGGCAGAGACAGGAATCAGATCAGGGGCAGGAGGTGGAATGAATGCTGCCTTTATAATTATTCAAAGTGTGTGTATACATTTTGGGACACCTTGTATTTTATTTCCAGCATATGCTGGAAGTTGACACATAATTAATGAAAGTTTGTTGAATTAGTTTATTCTTCATGGAATTAAATTGCTCCTACTGTATTTGCAGAGAAAGACTGGCTATTTTGGCTCATGTAGAATGTCACTGCTTTCCTGTGCCAGGTTTTAAAAAAAACTTTTTTTTAAAAAAAAAAAAAAAAAAAAAAAAAAAAAAAAAAAAAAAAAAAAAAGAAGTCTAGCTGTTTGACAACAGATGGCCAAACCCCATTTTAAAGAAACATTTCAAAAGCCCTCATAAACAGATTATGGTTCAATTTTTAGAGGACAGGAATTACTTTTGAAGCTTGCATCTCTGTCAGCTGGAACTTGTGATTTGAACACAGTTCTTGGAAACAGTCCATACTGAAGGTACAGTATAGTTTTCTAAAGCCCCTGGTTCCATGAACTGTCTGGAGCAGGGAGAATGATGCACCAACACAATGGCACCAGCCCCCTGCAATCTGATGGTGTCTCTCAAATGCTGAAGAAAGAGATTTACTTGCCACATGGACAGCAAACATTCAATGTTTGACTCAGACCAGAGCACAATCCAATTTTTAAAAAATTTGAAATATGACTCAAAATAATCCTTCTGATTGCTACCAGTCATCCCCAAATTATAAATTTAACCTCTAGCATGCTGTTACAGAGAAAAATTATAATTAAGATATATTCTTTCAATTTGCGTATAGGAGAGATCAAAATTTAATTGTAACCACAAATCTCTAACACCAAAACCCAAATTCAGAAAATAAAATTGGTACCATTCTAGTAATCAGCAACGAATAATCAAGTCCAATCATCCATTTATATATCATTTCCTAGCAGTATTTAAATATTCCTCCTCTAAGTACTAAACTAGCAGTTAGCATAGTGTTAAATTTTTTATATGTCCAATATATCACCTCCTTGCCCTGTATAACCAAGTATTTTACTTCAAGGGATTGGACTGATACCACTAGAAATATAAAGAGACATGCGAATGAGTGGGATGTGGATAAGCAATCAAGAGACTTTCTCCTACATGTTACTGACAGAACTGCTAGCATTACTTCTTACACCACAAACCAATATAGAATTCTAAGAATGTCATTAAGCCTCTCTAAGCTGGTAAAAATATACACAGCTAACATCAAATAATAACTGCAGTGAAATTTCACTGCCAACGAGTGATTTTAGTATAGCAATTAGGAAATTTGATGGTTTTTGTATTTATTTTATAGTAACAGTAACAATGTTTTCATGGAACCAGTCATCAAAATATATTTTTCCTTCATTCAAATAAGTCAGGCTAAGACTAATGTTTGTGGATGATATACAACTTTATCAAGGCTAAGAGAGAATCTAGAAAGTTAGGATTAAGGTTAACATACTTTAAGAGTCTGAGGCTCTCTGCTTTCTAGCCTATGAATGAAAAATATTCCCTCTGCCTTATGAATGAGACTTTGCCAGGACATGAGAGGCACCATAGTGCTTTTCAGAAGTACAAGAAAATGCCCCTGTGCTCTTCACAACAGTGTTTCTCCCTTCAGTTCTGCACAGCATGCTGTTCATCATTAGGATACAAAGCTTATTTGGTTTCTTTGTGATGATGCTACACTCACAGAGCCCTTTTACATTCCTTGGGATAAAAAGAACTTCACAAATTATTCAATAACTCTCCAATTTTCTATTTTTCTGTGCAATTTTTATTTTCCCACTTACCTCTGTATCATTATTGAGATTCCACAAATCCAGCCTCCCCATGCCATCCACACATGCAAACAGAGCTGGATGGGTAGGTGACCACATAACATCATAAACATAGTCTGAATTATCTTCGAATGAGTATAAAGGCTTGTTATTCTGAAAGGGAAAAGTTGATTCTTAGTGCAGTCAAAATATGACATACATTCAACAGGTATAACATTTTATGATATTTAACTCAGTCTAGAAAAAGTTCCCATAATTTGTTTTACTATACCGTATCAGGAGTTATGGAACTAAGAATCAACTATTGGATTGCATTTTCTTTTTAACTTATAGTTAGCCATACTGTTTTAAAAAAGGAATAGAAGGTACTTTAAAAACATTTGTCAATGAGAGGATTCTAGGAAGAGGATACCAATAGCACTGTATTTTTTGAATATCCACTAAATCTCTCCATAAACCCAGATAAAGTATAGCAAAATCAAAGATTCACAGACATCTACAACAAGATCAGGATGTAAGCAGGTAAAAACAAACCTCTGACAAATACAAGACCTGCACAGTATGAGCTTCTGTGAGGCAGGGCATGTGGGAAGGCACGCGGGCTTCTGACAGCCAGAGAACAGAGCCTCACAGTCAATAACAGATGCTTAGTAGCCAGCATGGGGGTCAGTCTAACAGCAGCAGAAACTGCAAGGGATTTCGACACAATTGCATTTATAAATAAATGCATACAGACTCCATGTGATAAAAGTAAGGTCTAATGGTGCAGTCTGAGCCCTATAAACTCTCTAACAAACCAAAGAGTCCTTTAAAGACCAAGTCTGACCAAAGAGAAACTTCTGGGAGCAGTATCCAAGTTGTGGAATACAGCACAGGAGGGGCAAAGGAAAGAGAAGGTGCAGATACAGGTGGTGAAGAGGAACAGAAAAGGCATATCTCACATAGATGGGTAAAGAAATATATAGAAGGCATATATCAGATCAAGAGAGAGACAGGTAATGAAATATAAAAAAAGCATATCTCAGAGAGAGAGGTAAAGACATATCTGCTTTGCAAGAAACACAGGAGAGCTTTCACCTAGACAATACAACTAGAAAAGCTATCTTTTCCCATTCCTTCCCTCTTAAAAGAAAACTCATTTCACTAGTAGACAATAAGCAACAAAAGGTATCTTAGTCGAATCCCATACAAAGTTATCATGACAGATCTTCAATAAGGGTGTCATAACAAATGGGAAAAGAACAGTCTTTTCAACAGATGAAACTGGGGCAACTGAATATGCACATGCAAAACAATGAAGTTGGACTGCCTCCTTCCTCACATAGAAATTAACTTAAAATGTACCACAGATCTAAATAGAAGAGGTAAAACTATAAATCTCTTAAGAAAAAGCACAGGAGTAAATCATTGTGACCTTGGATTCTGCAATAGTTTCTTAGATAAGAAGGGAAAAGCACAAACGACGAAAGAAAAAGTGGGTAAACTGGGCTACATCAAAACTAAATACTCTTGTGCTTCAAAAAAAACCCTCAAGAAAGTGAAAAGATAATTTATACAATGGGGGAAAATATCTGAAAACTCATATATCTGATAAGTATTAGAACTCTTACAACTCATTAAAAGGCAAATAAACCAATTAACAATTGGGCAAAGGATTTGACTAGATTTCTCCAAAGATCTACAAATAGCAACCAACCACTTGAAAATATGCTCAACATCATTATCCATCAGAGGGATGCAAATTAAATGACAATGAGATATCATTTCATACCACTAGGATGGCTATATAGGACAGATAATAACAAGTATTGGTGGAGGATGTGAGAAATTGGAACTCTCAGACACTGCTGGTGGAAATGTAAATTGGTGTAGCTGCTTTGAAAAACAGTTTGGCCGTTCCTGGAAATGCTAATTAGAGTGACATATGACCCGAAATTCTTCTCCTAGGTCCATACCTAAGAGAAATGAAAACACCGCTTGCTGGCAACCAGAAGCTAGGAACAGATTCTCTCTCAGTGTCTCCCAAAGTATCCAACCTTGTCAACACCTTGATTTTGGACTTTTAGCCTACAGAACTGTAAGAGAATAAATTTCTGTTCTTTTAAAGCCACCTAGTTTGTGGTTATTTGTTCCAGCATCCCTAGGGAATAAACAGAGTAATTCTGTATTTTTCTGGGGTAACTGGGTAGATCTAGATTAATAACCAAAAGAGTCCCTATAGTAAATACATGAACAGTGAGGTGCTCTCAAAAGAACTGGGAAATACAGTTTCACTTGGATCAGAACAGGAATAAACAGATCCTCTTTAAAAAGAAATGATACCACCTTAGACGGTTTAACTCAGTGGACAGAGTGTCGGCCTGTGGACCAAAGGGTCCCGGGTTCGATTCTGGTCAAGGGCATGTACCTTGGTTGCAGGCTTCTCCTCGACCTAGGCCCTGGTCAGGGCGCGTGCAGGAGGCAACCAATCAATGTGTTTCTTTTACATCAATGTCTCTCTCTGCCCTTCCCTCTCTCTTCCACTCTCCCTAAAAATCAATGGGAAAATATCCTCAGGTGAGGATTAACAAAACAAAACAAACAAAAAGAAACGTTATCCAGGTCAGAAATACCTTCCTTATAACCTGCCAACAGGACCTTTTTGAGAAGACATGTGTCTATTAAAAACAAAAGAAATACAAAGAAGCAGAGTCTTACAACAAAATACAGACAGTATCCAATATAAGCACTGTCTATCTAGGAGAGAGTCTCAATCCATGAACTGTGAGAAGTACCACCCAGGGCAAGACTATCTCTACAGGAAGATGAATGAATCATGCTATCATTGCTTGATGCCATTAAACATTCAAATTAGAAAACTTCCTTTGTTCCAATTGCTTGCTCACTAAGCAATCTTCTGATTATAATTTGGCTTCCCATGTGGGTTGTCTACAGGGAAACAATGAGCTGGTCAGGCCAGCATGAGTATCGGGGCTTTTTGACAGTTATTTCTCATTGTAAATTAATAAATTGACCTTCTCCAATGTATCCGTGTCTTAGGAGCCTGTCAGTTCCAGTCAGCACTCCCTAATCAACTCTAGAAGATGGACAAAATTGAGTTTCTAAATATGTGAAGGACAGGCTGGACACTGGTCAGCAGCAAGTTACTATGGTCAATGCTGCCACTCAGTCCCAATGGTCAGTAGGCTTCCTCACGAAACACCCCAATCTCAAAGCATTTTTTCATTTTAACTTGTCTAATGTGCACAGTTGCTATTCCAAGAGTCAGTAAAATATCTTTGACCCTGTTTTAATGCTTGTATTCTCTGAGCGTTAAATAGGGAAGTTGTTAAAATAAGGAGGGGATTTAAGACATCAGAGACTGTAACAAAATTTTAGGGTGTGTAAGGATTACAAAAGTCTGAAAACTACCAATTCTAAGAAATTATCACATTAACAATCTTAATTTTGTCACTTTACAGTAAATATGGTTTGATAGATATTGCTCTGAGACTAGAAAATACCGTGTATACATTAAAACACTTTGTCCCCCAAATAAATAATTTTTACAGTTTAAGAGTCATCTGTAACAAGTATGGTTAAATGTAATGGAACGAATCTTCAGGTTACTTTCAAGAAGCTTTTATTTCTCACATATTCTTCCTACCATTTTCAAGCCTGGAAAAGTGCTTTTTATTGTGAAATTTCAAATTTGGTATTTTGAAAAGGTAACCATATCCTCCAAATAAATTTAGAAGCTGACTACAGAAGTAGATTACTTTAAATTAAAGTTGAGGCAGTGCCAAATTGAAATTTCTAGGGATTTTTTAGAGGATTTACAGAAAGGGGAAAAAAAGAAGGACTCTTGTTTTGCTACTGGGGCACAGCCAAATCTTAAAAAGTACACAGATACAGTGATATCTAATGGTGCATTCTTCCAGTTTACAGAGTGTAGAGATAGAGAAGAAAAACACTTTAAAAGTATGTTAAATTCATGAATGTAAAGACACTGGTTTAAAGAGTTTAAAATAGAATTGAGAGAATGTTTTTAAAAAGAGTATTTAAAAGCCTTATCTGCCTGTTATTCATCACCATTATGTTAAAGAGCACAGAGGTTCTATCAAGTTATTTGACAGGATAGAAATAAATACCAGCAACACAATTAACCTTAAAGTATAAATCTAAGATCAGAGCAATGACACTGGGAGCCATGATACTGGTAAATAAAAACTATTTACCCAGCACATTGTTATTGTTTCATTCTTCATACAAAACTGTTTGTGTGAAGAACAATTCGAATAAAAAGTAATTCTGATGAAGTTTTTGAAGGCCCTTGGGCATGGATAAAAACACCGTTCTACAGTGGCCCATTCTTTGGCCACTAACTTTTGAGAGGTATGTATGTGTGGGGAAGAGGGAAGAGGCATATATCACAGTTGAATGAATAAGAGTGTTCTATACGAAGCTCAGGGAAGAAAGCAATACCTAGCCCAAAAAGAGATATGCCTGCCTGTCATTCTTATTCAGAGACAGTTCTATGTTAAAATACAACAAAATACAAGAATGAGAAGATATCAACCACCAGTCAACCAATAATATAACAAAAGCAAGCATCAGTTAGTCTGCTTCCACAGATATAAGTTCTGTTCTTGTTTAGGCAAGATGGCCCCTTCATTTTTCAGTCCTGTTAGCAATACACGTAAAGATGAAAGCCTTAAGTTTAAAGCTAACAGAAGGCTAGCAAACTGAAGCCCTGAGATACTCAAAATAATAAGAAATCTACAAATAGATAAATTCTTTTCAATTACTAAAAGGACGCTAGCCAGAAAACCTAAGAGACGTAATGTCTCCTGTGCTATACACAGGACTACTAAGGTGAGAGCACAGCCAAGTTCTAGCCACTTATACTGCTGCCTGCAGCCTATAGAGAAGCAGTGGCTTCATCTTTCCAATCCTGCCTCTTCCTTTGGTTTTACTAGCTAGTTTACGCATTTCTTTGGAGGAATCTTCCTTCTCTTTTCCACGATGTAAATCTAATTAAAAGAAGGAAGTCAAGAACATTCCAAGAAAGAAAATAGACCATTGACTAAATGCATTCAGGTTCTGTCTGATACCCATGAATGGAAAAGGAGGAACTGAACATTGTTAAGTGCCTACTACATGCTACACACTATGTTAAGCATTTTTCTGTTTCCTTCATTAGGTTTAAGGTAAGTGCTATTTTTCTACCTGCTAATGCCAAACTGGAAAATGCTTAATTTTAAAAGGCAAGGTTTTAGAGGCGAAGTCTTCTAACTCACTTCATATTAGACTGAAAGAAAGCATCAAGAAAAGATAATAGTGAACAGTGAGTTAACTTGAACTAGATTTCTGAAGCTAGTATTTGATAACTGTAATAGCAAAAAACAGCTCTTAAGACTACTAGGTTTTCTCAAAATATTGAAGAACAAAATAAGGTCTCTAAACTTTTTGTCTCATAATGAATTATTCAATATTTAGGATAAGGCAGATGGAAACATGAAAAATGTAGCTTAAAACTTAATTTAAATAGAATCTGATATTCTGAATATACGACTTTGCAAGCAACAATGTAATAGTGCAGAAAAGCTAGAGAGCAAAGTCAAGGCACTTTAATTTTAAAACAGGTCAAGTGAAATTACAAGGCCTATCACAGGAAGTAACATTCCTGACCTGACTCTGCCTTGAGACTTTCAGTGAGGTAGGGCATTGTCACATTTATCTGGAATTGCTGGAGAATCAGGAAGTACTTCATAACTTAAGTGGGGGTTTTGAATAACTGAAACTTATTAAAAACAGAAAATAACTATTTAAATTACTTGTTTTGGAAAACAAAAATACATATCCATCTATAACTTTATACAATACTTTCTTTTTAAAAATTTCTTTTAGAATTTATTGATTTTAGAGAGAGGAAGGGTGAGAGACAGAGAGAGAGAAACATCGACTTCTTGTTCCACTTATTTATGCATTCAATGGCTGCTTCATGTATATGTTCCTGACCGAGTTTTGAACTTGTAACCTTGGTGTAATGGGATAGTGCTCTAACCAACTGACCTACACAGCCAGGGCATGCCATACTTTCTTTTTTTAAGAAATATATATTTTTATTGATTTCAGAGAGGAAGGGAGAGGGAGAGAGAAATAGAAGCATCAAGGATGAGAGAGAATTGATCGGCTGCCTCCTGCACATCCCCCACTGGGGATCGAGCCCACAACCTGGGCATGTGCCCTTGCCTGGGATTGAACCTGGGACCCTTCAGTCCGTAGACTGATGCTCTATCCACTGAGCCAAATCAGCTAGGGCCATACTTTCTTAATGACTCAAACTTATTATGTGTAGCTTTATCAAATAGGACTTATTGTACATTAGTTTTTATCTGTCTTTTCTCCATTTTTCCATCAGTTCTATAAGCCACTGTAGTCTGAACAAACCTCTAAAAACTCTCCAAAAAAAAAAATGTCTGACTTTAGTGCTGGGCTGTGTGACAGCTATTTGAGGTGCTATGCAAGATACTCAGGGGCTTTTTCTCCAACTCAGTTCAGGGCAGACAGTCTGTGCTCAAAAAAGCCTGAAATAGTTGGAAGACTGGTGTTTGTGTGTGGGATGACCATATTTGTCAGCACACTTTTATGAAAACTACAACCTCTAGTAGCTCACTTATGCTCTGTCTAACTTCTTATCAAGTTTGATCTATCAGTTAATTATGCTAAGCTATTAGAAAACTTTCCATCTTTCCTATGTAATACTAGAGCACCACCTTGTGTTAGAAACCTAAGCAAATGAGCAGACATCTGTTTTTAGATACCTTAGTTGTCCAAAGCTTTACTGTCCAGTCAAATGATGAAGTGACAAAAAGATGTGAGAAGTCTACTGCTCCCACAGCTGCATGACAGTGGATGCCAGTGATTGGTCCTTGATGTCCCTCAAACATCTCACTGATTCCAGCTTTGCTGTTTAATCAAAGTGAAAATGTTAGGGAAATCTCTGTAAGATAACCAACTTACAAAAACATTATTTTACAGTTTATTTATCAGACTTTGACATAATTTCAACACACTTAACTTTGTGCTCATAACCTATCAGAATAACTGAAATTGAGTGTTACTCTACTTGGTAACACTACTAAAGCAATCCTATATAATAAAAGGCTAATATGCAAATAGACCAAATGGCAGAACTGAACCAGTTGCTATGATGTGCGCTGACCACCAGGGGGTCTGTGCGGAACATGGCAGGCAGCGGCAACAGGTTGCAGAGCGTGAAACATGGCGGGTGTCGGCCATGGCGGGATGATGGAGCAGGTGAGCAGGGGGTGTGGACCAAGGTGGGGTGCCAGTTGCTGTCATCGGGGTGAGCCTCTGGTGGCTACTGAAAATTCTTTGCTCCTGTGCGCCACGGTCCCACCCAGAATTCGCACCTGCTGCCGGCACTGGCCCCGGTCCCAGTCGCTTAGCACTGCCAGCAGGTGCAAGTGGCGGCTGCCAGCCCTGATTGCCCCTAAGGGCTTCTCCACCTCCCCCTGCTCCTGAGGGGCCATCAGGGACAGCAGCCGCTGCTCACACCCGCTGCTGGTGCTGGCCCCGATCGCTCTGCCCCAATCGCTCTGCCCCAATCGCCCCGCAACATCAGCACATGGGAGTGGCGGTGGGGGTGGGGCTGCCGGCAGACAGGGGACCGGAGGCCACAGCGGGAGGGGTCAGGTGGGGGTGTGGAGGATGGGCCGAGACCTGTACCTGTGCCCACCGCAGCCTCATGGCCCACAGTTCCTTTCAAGGTGCATGAATCTGTGCACTGGGCCCCTAGTAAGTATATATTTGAACCATAAACATGATGTTGAAAACAGAACTCAAAAGTTCAATGTCTGAAGTGGTGGAATAGAGATAAAGGGATACTACATGTAAGAGAGAAAATCTGGACTACTTTTAAATCAAAAGCTTTGAAGTGAAGGTGATCTGTATTTGAGATGAAAACTGGACATTCAATTTTTTTTTAAGGAAGCAATTGATAAGGTACAGCTAGACAATTTCAAAACATATTGAACAGCAGGAGAAATACTAGTCAATTTAAAATGTGTACGTGACATTACAATTATCAGGAGGACTCAACTAAAAGCTCAAAGTCCACATAAAATAAGAAAATGGCTGAATGTCTTATTTACAACTTTAAAGGTCAATATGTGGCATGTGTATAATATATTTGCAATTGCTGAATGTTATTTTCCACCACTAACTTCTGTAAGCATGTGCACGCATACAAAACTACACCACAACTTTCAACATCCAGAATACATCATGATCCAAAATAACCTTTGATTTTTAAAAAATTGTTTTAATTTTATACACCTGACCTCAAATAATTTGTCACAAAAAATGAGTGACTCTAGGATAGATTTCTACTTAAACAAGGGGCAATTTGTTTCAATGAGATTATTCAGGGAAAAATTTTAAATAATTGCAAATTCCAGTTTAGATGTACCTGCCATGGCGGCATGCTGTGTACACAGAACCTTCTTCACTCCCAACAACAAAGTTGTTGACATCTCCAACAGGGAAGGACATTGATGTCACAGCTACTGCCTTTGACTGTTTATGAACTAATTCCATGCTGTCCTGGATAGAAAAAATTCAGGAAAATATTTTGTAAACTTGCAATTTTTATTTTTTAAGAAAAATTTATATTTTTAATTGGTTTGTAAACAATTCTTTTATTATACTTCTTATATAAATTGTCTGAGTAAGTGAAGCAGGTTTGAAAATAAGATATATACAGTAAACTATATTTAACACATGTTTAGATTTATAAACTGTTACCATAATACCATTATAAAACATTTATGAAAAACATAAGCTGGGGTTTATAGATTTAAAAAATAACATTTGCCTCAAAATTTCAGAGTTTTCCAAAATAAACCTACCTGTGGATGGGAAAGCATGTCCAGACTCCATGAACAAATTTTTCCATCAGTAGAGATGCTAATCAGATTATGAGCATTTTGTGTTCCAACGACATTTACACAATATACAGGATGCTGAAGAAAGAGAGATTAAGGTTTTCTGGAATTATTTCACCAAGAAAGTGAAACAATTTTTACTGCATAATCATAGATATTCTCTTTCATATCAAAACTATCTCATATCTTCAGGGCATTTTTAAAGTGAAGTTTGACACTATTCTGTTGATTAACAAAAGGATGTCTCAGAAGAGAAATGGGTTTCTAATAAAACAAATTTCCAGAAAAACAGAAAAAAGGCCTTTATTCTTGGCTGCTAAATGGTAAGGAATTCACACATCAAAGGAAACACAGTCTGAAGCTACTCTGAGGGGCGCTACTAAGTATTTAATGTGAAGGAGCACAGAGTCTAATGGAAATAACTCCTTTACTTACTGTGTGTGCAGCAGCTGACAGTGGAGTTCTTTGCACTGGAGTTCTTTTATTGCTACGGTTATCCCACAGCACAATTTGGCCTGAATACGTACCGCCAACAACCAGATTTGGATGAAATTTTGCAAATGTAGCAGACATCACAGCTGACTGCAAATCAGTAAGATTTTTTTATTTAAAGTTCAAATGTTAGAAGCTTGACAAGTTATAAAAAAGCATTTTCCCCTTCATTATAAGGTATTAGAGGTTATAAAAACAAGTAAATAAATTCATTTTAAAATTTTTACTTTGTTCCAGAATATAAAAATTTATTTTTGAACAGTTTTTGCTTAAAAGTCTAATACAATGATTACTTACATAAATATGTTTAAGTAACTTATAAAGAAAGGAAAATATTATTTTATTCAATTATAGTATTAAGTCAAAAGGTAACTGGCTTTGCATTAACCTCTAACAATAATCTGACAACAGAGTATATGCTAGCTTTGATTCAGTTAAGTGCTTTTCTTCAGAATTATAATATTATTAAAAGATTATAACTTATGTAACCAAAAAAGGCTTGCAAATTCTAACCTACTAAATCCTCTTTAAAACTCTGCATCTGTTTCCTACTTCACACATATGTTTTCACTTAAAACGATCTAGTTCCAACTCCTCAGGCCTTGTATAAGTAATTCAGTGGGCCAACAGTCTAATTGTATATTCAGCAAATAAGTTCCTAAGAAACACCCTGTAGAAAAGACATTTTAGAAAATATTTCTTTTATACAATCAATCACAATAACAGAAAATCACAACTGCAAAGAACTTTAGGTGTGATTAAACATTATAAGAGAAGTCAGAAATGCTACAAAAAGGCAGATCATGTTGAATTGAGAAGTCTTCAGTTTTCTGTTAACATCTGTTTGCAAATATGGGCTGGTTTAGAAAATGCCAACCCAATAAAATCATTATGTTGACAAGAAAAGAAAAAAGGCACTTGTCTAAATGCATTAATGAATTCTTAAACTTGGGAAAGACTGTTAAAAGACCATCTTACCTGGCAGTGAAATACATATTCTGGGGTAGTTTTTTTGTATTTCATATTCCATACCAGGGCCACACCATCCGGCTCGTGAGGAGCATCTTCATTGTTATTATAGGAAGCCACGAGTAACTCTGGATACTGCTCACAAAAATCAAGTAGAAAAAAAATGCTATGATAAGAACTGTTTTTACATTCTTAGTTACTCATTGTCTCTATCAAATTATTCTGAAATATAAATACCTAATACTTCATAAAAAAAGAGGTTTCTCTAGAGTTTGCTTATTGGAATGTAACATTACCTTAAATTAGTTATTTAAAATGCTTTAATTAACTTCATTAATATATGTATTACAATTTTATCCAAAGGATTTGGTGAGCAATTGAAACTGGGTTTTGGCATAAATAAAATCTTGAGTTTTAAATATAAGTAATGTTTCCAATAATTTCTTCCACAGTTTAATAAGACAAAATGAATAAGAAAACATTAGATCTATCATCTATTATTATTTTAAATGATATATACTGATTTAATTACACAAAACTTCCATGATTAAAATAAAAGGTGAAGTAATTTAAGCAAAAACAAAACAAAAAACCACAACTCACAGATACAGACAACACTATGGTGATTACCAGAAGGGGGTGGGGAGAGGTAGAAAAGGGTGAAGGAGGATAAATGGTAATGGAAGGAGACTTGACTTTGGGTGATGAACACACAAGCAATATACAGTTGATGTACTATAGAACTGTACACCTGAAACCCATACAATTTTATTAAACAATGTCAGCCCAATAAATTCAATAAAAGTAAAAAAAATTTAAAAAAGAATAAAAATAAAGGAGGAAAAAACAAAAATGAATTAATAGCAACCAGTTTTATAATTTACCTGAGATGACCAATCCAAACAACTAACAACCCGATGCTTTGACCACCGTTCGTCAAAAAATTGTCGATTTAATGACAGTTTTGCACCTGCTTGAATCTCTCTATAGAAAAGACCAAATCCAGAAAAAGGTGGTGTTATAACTTCTTACTCTTAATGTAATTTAACATTGCTGAAGCCATAATTTTAGCAGTTAAACATTACCCTTCTTTGTCTTCCAAATCTCTGCCACTGTAGTCAAAGAAGATGTTAATCTGCTCAGAAAGAGCTCTTTCTACAATTCTTGTGGAATGGTCAAAGAAACTTAAAAACTCTTCAGTGTGCAAGATTTGTTGCTTTTCTTCTTCAGTCAGCTCATGAGGGGGAGCTGGAAAACAAATGTTTTTCTGAAATCTGACTTATGTGAGTCAAATCAGGTCAACTCACTATTACAGTTTGGATCAATGAATGCCACACATCCTTTTACAACCAGATTCGTCTCTTTAATTTAGAGCATTTTATTCTACTTTCATACATAAACAATAAAGGAAATCTTAATAGGAATCAACTAAATTTTTTAAAGTTAAATTCTTTAAGATACCTTTACTATCATTTTCCTCATCTTTCTTTAAAATTTTCTCTTCTTCAGGTTCAATAGGTGGTTTAGGAGTCACTACATCATCTTCTTCTTCTTCATCTGAAAAAAACAGAACAAGAATTATTTTTATGAAAATAACTGCTAATTTTTGAGGTCATAGGCAGAAGGTATCACAACTCTTCACATAAAAGCAAAAGCAAATCACTGATAAGACAGAATAAGTACAAATAATATGAATTTTGGCAACATAATTTTGAAGAAAGAATTATGTAGAACCTCTTGGTTTTTTATACATACCTATGTAGCATCTTATCAACAGTCATTCCAAATTCTGTAGCTACAGAAACTGAAATAAAATATGTAAGCAACTAGGATGAATTCCTCAGGGAAATCTCTAAAAGCTTGCAAGGTTTATCATTCCAGACAGAACAACATGCAACTCCTATATAGTTTTATGTAGCATGCTGACACATTAATGCTGTAGAATGAAGAAAATCAAATGTCGAAAATAGCCTACAGAGCTGGCTGCTTACTTGTGATCTGAAACCATCAGTGTCTAATGGGTCTTCATATGGCATAAAGACGGCTTACATTAACTCTCAGGTTGCTATTTGAGAGGCAGGTTTTAAAGATAATAGCTATGAGACCACATTTTCTATTCTGTCATTTTAAATGCAAGTCTCATTACTACCGTTATATAATGTGGCAATAAGCACTTAATGTTTTCTTGAATAAAAATATATATTGAGATAATACATAATGTTTAGAAGAATTTTTTATTACTAAATCTACTCTTATATTCCCAAACCAGGAAATAACTTACAATCACTTATTTTAAAATGTTATAGAACATACAGATCTGCCTACTCTTTCACTACATACTGAGATGGGTTTTTATGGAGAAAACGCTTTTTTTTTAATTGCGGAAACAGATGTGTCATTTGTCTATGGGGGAATAGCAGCAGGCATCTACAGCACAGTGCATCTCAAGTAATGAGAGCCTATTCAATAAGGGAACTTTCCTTGTTAGTTACAGTCCTTTCCCTGACCCATGTTTGAAATTATCTAAAACACACATATATACGACGGACACAAAAGAATGGTCAAGGATGGGAACCAGCTGCCAAGTCATGGTCCCACAGCCAAGCCAGCTGACTAGATAGCAACAACCAGATGGCATTGCTAGGATTGTGTCTTTCTGCTACAAGGTGGCAATGGGATGGCATAACATTCTTCCGCTTGACTGCTTCCAATCCTGTCTCTCCCCACTGGCAAGCCCATGCAATTACCCGCACTCCAGGGGGCCTACAGATAAGCCTTTGCCCTGCAAACAAAATGCAGCTTGTAGGCCACACCAGCTGCCAAACCACACACATAGTGTTAGGTTTGGAGAGCTATGAAAATCTTTCTAACTCTATAGTATAGACAATAAAAATATAACTGTAGCTGTAGGGAAGAAAGCTTTAAACGACACTGTATAATGCACACAATGATACAACCTCCAACTTAATCAAAATGATAATGACGTATGCCAATCCTACATAACTTGAAATAGAGCGATTTTTACGTTCTGACAAGTTTACAGAACTAGGATAAATGGCACGAATGATTTCAATATATGCTCATACTTTTGAACCAAATGGTGAAGGTTAAAATTTTTCCTTTCAAGGGCCTCAATCAGCCACAAAGGAAAACAGTAATCACTGCCTTTTCAGCCAGCCCAACCGCATTTGTCAGCCCTTTCTCCGTCAATGCAGCCAGAGCAATCAACCTGCCAAACATTCAGAATGGAAAAACAATCTGAAAATACAGGGTATAATGCACCTGCCAGTGAAAATGGCCATTTCAAGAAAAGCTAGTGATCTCAGTGACCCCACTGAGGAGGCGGTAGTGCAAAGGGGAAAGAACACGTAAAAGAATTCTTAGTGATCGCCACTCTCTTGCACATTGACACTTCCTTACAAAGCATGCCAATTACAGCTTTTGTGCTACTTAAAAAATGAAAGCTTTTTTGGAACAATATAATCACACAGAGAAACAGAAAGACAGTACTCCTTTTTAGATGAATTCTCATATACAACAGATTATTAATCTGAAAACAGTATAGCTGGTAACAATTCTATACTGCTCAAACATTAGAACGAAATTTTACTATAAAGTCACCTGCAAGTGTAATGTAATAAAATAATTTAAGTACATTTAACTTAAAAGTTAACTTTTAGAATAATAGGATATTTACTTCAATTAAAAATTAAATCTGGGAAAAAAAAAAAATATA